GTTGTGATGTTTTATATGGTGTCATGACAGCATTTTTTAATTTAAATACTTTAGCCAATACAAAAAAACCAGTTATAAAAAAAGAATTGCAAAATGAATTTTTATTTTAATAATAAAAATATCTTTAATTATAATGATACAATTGCAATACTAAAAGAATTGTTTTCAAAAATATAAAAATTTAAACTACACCTAGAAAATAACAAGAAATAACAGAAAATAACAAGCAATTTCGGAAAAATAACAAACATTACTTTAGAATTGGTTTTTTTATGATTAAAGTAGTGATTATAAGTCAAAGAACCCTGCTCAAATAATTTTCTTCTTAGTTATTAACTATATTGTTCCTAGTAACAAAGGTAATTCAGGGAAGTATCTAATTTTTTTTGAATACCCACTTTATTTACCTACTGTTTTAATGGTTTGCTATTCTTCTTTACTTTTTTCTCAGTTTGACTAATACTACTTGTATGTGCGCTGAGAAAGTTGCAAAAAAATGGGCGTGACCCCATACAGTAAGACGATTTTTAAAGAAGTTCAAAAGGACCTGAAAAATCAAAAAAATTATAAAGGTCTGGATAGAGATGCGTATCGGCTCATCGGCTCTATTGATTAATCGGTTTTTATTATACTGAATATACAAGCCGATTGAGCCGTTTAGCATCACTAGGTCTGGAAGATCTCCACCCTTACCAAATGACAAAAGTCTGTACTTCATATAAGCTACTTCGTTATATTATTGACAATTTGGCGAATCCTTGTAGGTTAATAACTGCTTGTAGAGTATTGCATGAATCAGAGATCAGATCCTATGTAGCCACAAAAAAGCCATTTATTGATGAAGCCAATATTATAAAATATAAAGAATAGTATGAAAAATATGTTAATAAAGATAGTTATTTTTGGCATCGTGTCATTCTTTTGGATAAAATGAGTTTAAGATAAGAAAAAAGTCACAACAAATAAGGCTATTTGAAGTTGATTCTTCGGTTAACATCACTCTGTCAGGACTCTCAAGAGGGGGTAGGGGGTAAAATGAAACGAACATTCTTTTAAAACAAGATCATTCAACTTTGTAAACTTTTACTTTCAACATATTTAGTTCGTTTAAATTAATTTAAAAATGTGAAACCCATTAAATTTATCAACAAATTATTATACTGTACGTAATTATTAAAATCATGCGGCAAATCCACCCGCAGGATCATGTTCTAATTAATTTTAAATTCATTCATGTTAAACTAGTCTGGGCAAAAAATATTAACTTTGATTTTAATTATAAGTAAGCAATGCAGAATTACAAATAAAATATCAATTTTTTTCTAGTAGTTACAGAGATTGATGATATGAAATCTAAATTTCATAAGTATTTTTGTGCAACTATGATGATAAGGTTTTATATGTAAATAAATTTATTTTGAATAGTTATAGCTTAATTAATAACAATAAATCTTAGTTGCTATAAACATATAATCCACATAAATATCGAATAGAAATACCACAATATAACATTATTTCTGGGATTTCGCTAGCACAACTAAATAATAAAAATGAAAAAATAATGATGCAGAATTTTAATTTATAAAACAATTGTATAATGCTCTGGTTGACTGTAACTTCATTGGCCGAAGTTAGATATACATCAGGAATTGTATTTTTATAAAATATATGTAGCTCTACAAGTTAATATAAATATTATATAAAACTTTTATATAGGCTTGCTACCCAATGTAGATATATATAGTTATGATATTTATATAATATTTAGAAATATATAGTTTAAATAAAATTCTAACTAATTATTGTATTTAATCATTTTGCGCAGGTGCGGTGTAACGCTTTCCATAAGAATGTGAAATCAAAACAAATTAGTAACGCATTAGTTTAGGGTAAGGGTGTGCACTACGGTGAAGCATTAGCAAAAAGATATAGACTTGAAATTTTGCAAGAAATTTTTTTTATTAGAATGTGAAAGGTGGTTTAATAAGCAAAATTATAAGCTACAGGCGACTCTTTTAAAAAATGCTATTTTTTTCGATTTCACGTCACACCTGTTCTTTAGATGATTGGTTGATAAGGTGGGTGCGTTACAACGCACATGTGCTTATATAACCTTTTTTTTTTTTTACTGTTCTGCGTAATTTAGCATTGAACCGTACACTCCGCTTCATTACGTTACTCAGATCACTCATTAATCAACCAATCACCAATTAATTGCAAAATTTACAAAAAGACGAAAATATGGGATTCGAGGGGATTCAAAAAATATAGCTTAAAGCAAAGTGAGAGCTTAATGTTTTTTAATCTCTTTCAATCTTCATAGAAAAGATAATCCAAGCAAGCCTTCCAAAAATAATATAAAAAAATTTTCATCTATTGTGTAACGATTTTGTGTAATATCAGCGATACCTCCTGTTACGCAAAACTCGAATTGAACCATCACTCCGTTTCATTATGTGTGAACACTCGTGCATTCGTTCGTGGCATTTATCATAGAAAAAAGACAACAATAGTTCTTCAATTATAAGTCTTTTTTCACCTTTAAGTTCCTCATATTATTCAGAATTTGTTCAGAGAGTGCAATGCTTGCAGAAATATATAGAAGTATTATAAAAGATATTGACGTGAATATTCATGGAAATTTGTTTTTCTTACTTTTATTCTAATTTGGATAAAACTTTTATAGTAAATATAGTAAAAATTGTGGAAATATTAATAAGCTTATTTGCTTTGACATATGAAAAAAATACTATGCAGAATAATATTTGAGATTGATAGTAATTGTATTTGTATCAACAACTTTAATATAAGTGACTTTAATTGATGGTTCATAATACCAACTATTAACAGGATTAATATTATCGTTACTTAAAACCATATCATTGTTAGGATCTTTTAACACTTGATTATTAACAGTGATGGACATTAAAGGTCCATTTGAACCTCGAAAAGATTCTGAGGGATCATGTAGTATAGCCACACGGTAGAACGTTTCTAAAGGAGGTGTGTAATTATCCCTACCTCGCGAGATTTTGATATCGCGATTAATTCCAGACTGAACATGTTCGATCTTTACTTCTCGGTATTCTCCCTTTGCCCACTTTTTTTCTTCTGGATCCATGTATTTGTATTGAGGTGCATCAGGTGGTGCCGAAGAAAGACTAACACCATCATCCAAATACATAGTATAATTGCCTTGTTTTCCCGGATAAATATTAAGGGTGATATTGCAAGGTTTACCATTTTCGTGAAGTTGCCCTACCCATTGCTCTAGTGGGATTTCTGGGATTATAGCTCCAGCACGAATGTATACTGGAACAATAAACCTCAAATGATTGTAGTCATCACCATCAATGTGTGCATCAAAGTTTCGAACTGTTGTGCCACCTTTAACTGCACCTGCTAGTGGGAATTTACTGTCCATAAAATTATACCAGTAATCTGTGATTGGCAAATAAATATCTCGTTTAGTAGCATCAGGGTCCATTATAGGTGCTACAAGAATATCTTTGCCAACAAAGAATTGATTACTGTTAAAGTCAATCTTATCATTGTAAAGTGCACTATCACGTGGATCATTAATAAACATCGCTCGACACATTGGCATACTTTCAAGTACATTCACCCACATTAAATCATACCAAAGTTGCAATAACCTGTATCGTAATTCTATATAATGTCTGGTTACAGGAAGAACAGAACGATAGAATACTCGCTGATAATCTGTAACCCCAAAGGCATTTTGGTAATCCTTGAAAACATAAAGCTCTTGAAAAGACTTCCCATCATGGATTTTCCTTACACCATTGATTGTCTCATCGATTTTCTTTACATAGTGGTTTCTAAACCATGGTAGGAATGATCCAGCGGTTGTCCATCGAATAATTAGTTCAGGACTAGCCCAGTCTCCATTATCCTCACCTTTACCAAACCCTCCAATATCTGCTCCTACTATTGAAAGTCCTGAAAGTCCAACGGCTAATACCTAAGATATAATTTAAATACGTTATTTTTATCTTACATTAAATTCTGTCTTTAATAGATTTAAGAATTGAAAACTACCTGTGCAATATTAATTCGATAAAAGCTCCATGTTGATGCATTATCTCCAGTCCACAAACCACAAAACCGATGGGATCCGGTAAAGCTACCACGACCTACTATAAAATTTCGTTTTCCTTCGCGACTGGGGAGAAGATTAAGGCCATGATAAGTTGCTTTATGTAGATTATAAGAAAAAAGGTTCCACACTTTGAGAGCAGGATTTAATGAAGGTGTTGTAGCAGATAAAGAATCGTCTGTAATACGAAGTTTGAAAGGAAATCCCTAATCCATAATAGTATGGTTAATTAGTTTAGTTAATGAGTTTTCTATTTTATATTTAACACATTTCCATTTATAAATATCACGGCTCACTTTCATATCGCCTCGAGATTTATCAATAGCTGGAGTTGTCATGTCTTGCCAAACAAATTCTAATCCCCATGAAAAAAGAGTTTCATACTGTTTACCCCACCAATCTCTGACCTCTTTCTTACCAAGGTCCGGATAGTGACCCAAGACGATATTACCATAACCATAATCCTCCATGCCAGTATATGGTACGGAAACACCACTGAGATTGTCATCTATGGTCATTTTTCCTATCACTTCATGACCTCCTTCGAAGTATTGCTGGAGTAAATCACCAGAAGAACTTTGAACACGTTGATCTAAAATCAAGTAGCCATTCGCCATAGCTTCTTTGTATGGTACATAATCATTATCACCTTTTTTGATAATTGGAGTAACATTAACACAACATTTTGCACCATTAAGTCGTAAATTATCAAACATTTCTTTAGGGTTTGGAAAAGTTACAGGATTTAAGGTAAAAACTTGATAATTGTTTTGAGAATCTATGTCAATATGAAGGCCATCAATTGGAATATTGTTATCTCTGTATTTTTGGAGGGTATCCTCTACATCTTGCCTCTTCGTCCAGCCATAACACCCTTGATGAAAACCAAGAACGTAACGAGGCTTAAGCCTACAACGTCCGACTAGACTTGTGAAACTATTAATAATGTCCTTGCATTCATTTCCAGAAAATACGTAATAATCGAGTTCACCAAATTTAATGCCAAACATATTTCTATCGGACTTCTCATAGCCAATATCCATACAAATAAGTGAGTAATTATCAATATACATGCCAATGACCGATTCTTTTCCAGGAACCCCATTGAATTCCATGAAAAAAGGATCTGAGTGGTAAAGAGGCTCGCGTTGATCCAGAGGTCCTTGACCATAAATCTGATTGAACAATATGATGTGAGAAGAAAGAAATATAATGTAAGAAACAATGTTGTGCATAATAAATATATGAGTAATTATCATATTTTATTACTTGACCATATCCATAATTATCATAATTGAAGAAGGTGAGTTGTTGTGAATTTTTAAATAGGCCGACACCTCCATGTTCACCAAATCCTGCGTATTTTGCAGCTGTAGGTTTGTTTACCACCTGAATGATTTTAAAAGTATTTGTAACACTACCAGAACTTAGTTGATCTCTGACTTCAGTCCAACGTAATCCTATTTCCTCATTAGTTGACCAAATTGAGTATAATTGTCCACCCTCAAATCGATAAACTCGAATAGAGAAAGGCTTAAGACCTATTTCAATTTTTATGTACCGTGTACTATCATTAATGTGTACTGTATCGATACTAATCATATCTTGACCGTCATTAAGGTTTGTGCTAAATTGACCCCACTCATTCTGAAGATCTGCCCATGTGTCCATAACTACTGCTCGAGAGTTGTTTGTAATATATTCATCAGCGCTTCTCTTACTTGGGTCAAAGCGCACGCGAAAAACACTATATCCAAGCAGCTGAATGAGGAGACAACATGACTGGCCTTGAGGGTATCCACCTTCGATAATCAAGGTAAGTGTACGAATGTTAGGATCGTAGTTATGACTGAGAACATTGCCAAGTTTTGTCCAAGACTCGTAATGTGAGAAGAAATCTTCGACTTTTTCAAAACTATAGACCGGATCTGCCATAATAATTTTAAAAAAGTGTTATTACAATATATAAATATAGCGATTGAGGAGTGAAATAAGAAGTCACAAAATTTGAAAGCATTTGATTCCATGATTATCTTATTGTACAATTGTAAGCTTATTGTGGTAAACAAATATCGATACATTTTATGCTTTATTTAGCATATAGCTTCTTTTTTCATATTTTGTGAAATATCAAAAAAAAAATATATATAATTTCTTAAAATGGGATAACTTACGCCTTTGTATTTCCTATTACAGCAATTGAATTTTTGATTGAAGCATCGCCAAACCGTACTCCAATATTTGATGTAATTGTTACATAATCAGTCGTTACAAAATTTTGCCATGTGTATCGACCGACGTAAATTAGCATTAGTAATGGAACTTTTTTGTTTCTCAATATGGTTATTAGAAATTCTGCCATATCAGCTGATTTGATTTGTTGGGCCTTTCTTTAGATAAACAGTTACACGAAATTTTTGCTCTTAAGTAATGTTGTAAAAGTAATAAACGAAGTACTTGTTATAACTAATAAAAGATAAAAGACAAATAGAGGTTAATAACCAACTATTCTAAGCTGTGGAAAGAAGTACTTTTCATTTTGTTGACATATTCGGATGTTTTAGGAGTGGTTAATCATCGTTTGATTGGTTTGTAGCTGTCCAAGGGTGAATTAGGAACAATTTTTTAAAAAACACCTTTTTAATATACTTTTTGCCCATAATAAAATACGTATTTAAGGTCGTTTTCATAAAAATTCGAATTACCTTTATATGTTAGAGTGGTAATTCCGGCGGGTTAATTTTCCAGCGATATATATAGTGTAGTCAAAAGACAATATCGCTGAAAAAAGGAAATAGATCATATAATGTAGCTTTAAATGATAGTTATTCATGTATATTTGATAGAAACACATTGATTTCTCATTAGTAAAATAGATTTATTATTTATAATCCAATTAATAAATTGCCCTTCCAAATTTCCAATACTCAGATGTTATAGGAATCTTAAGTTTCATCCAGATCCTAAATATTGCAAAACTTAACATATTTTAACCCGCTATTAGCATTTACTAATAATACTCTCCTAAGCAAGGTTATAAACATTAAAAAAAATAAAACAAGTTTTGATTTGTTTGTAGTCATATTTATTCATATATCTTTTTGAAACTGGCAACTATATAGCTTTATAACCAGTCCAATAATTTATTTTTCACTATGTGAATTGTGAGTACGTAGTACTGTTGTTAGGCAAAACTATTTTTGGCAAATGGCAAAAGTCGAAACTAAACCCGGCAAAAGTCAAAACTGGCAAA